TTCTCTTACATGAGAAGTTGGCCAGCAATTAGAGGCAATAAAATAACTACTTTAAGTGTGTAAGCACCTAAAAATATTTCTAAAACTGTGGTTTGTTAAATTGCATCATAATATCATCTGCAGCAAACAGTTTCGTTCTTCAGTTGAGGTGTACTTTTGAAACACATCATCAGAATTTTGTTACAGCATGTTCACAGGTTATTTGGGAGAAAAGAAGGGGAATATCGTATTTCAGAGGAGAATTTTCCCTCCTTCCCACTTACAACTGCATTACTGAGCAGAACAAAAATAAATCAGAACAATGTGTTCATGAGCAATAAACGATCAAAAAACTCACTAGCGCAGGAATATGGACTGAGATCAGCAATGTAAAATTCAGTGCAGCATGGATGGCAGTCTAATATTTGTTACTTCCCAAATAATAAAAAACCACCTCTCGCTTTGACTTTTTCATCTCCTGTTCCATTTGTAGCACCCCAAGCTTTATCTAACATCCAATAACATTTTTGATTAACTAAACTTATTGTGTTTGGTGGGGGTTTTCCTTTTTTTAATTTCAACTGACCTCTTGGTAGAAATTGTACGATGGTAAGTGGGGCTCACATTAAAAGAAGAGGTATGATTTCCATAAACTTCCATGAAGCCAGATTTTTACCAAGTTGATATAACTTTCTGTGACAGTTTGGCATGAGCATTGAAATGTTACCCTTATCCCTCAAAAATGGAGGTTCCTCTTCCATTAACATAATTCAGTTAAATGGATGTGATATCAAGATTTAAAGGATGGGATTTCTACTAGCAAAACTCTTGAGACTTTCCAGTGTGACCGTGTTTCCCATGTAGCTCTAAAGTAATGGACATTATAGATGAAGTGTATTGGAAACAAAAGGAAATACTCATTACATTCAAGGATTTTGGATCATGCCCTGTACATTTTTTTTTTAGCAAAAATATCTGTGTGGAGATGGAATGGAGAAAGGAAAAGCAACAGATTGCCAGTACCCCTATTAATAATGTATGAGTAATCATGACCCAGCAGCAGTGCCAGATCATAACAACCCCAGAACAGTTTCTGTAAGAAGGTGTAGGTTACAGAACTTTTTCTTCCACTTTCATTGGCTTAGTGCAAAAGGAAGAGCACGGCTCAAGGAAGCAGATGGAAAAGCATTTCTGACAGCTTAAGTATAGCTAATTATTTGTAGGCGAAGCATTCTGCTATCAGCACTGATTTGCTGTATTTGAAACTGAAACAGTCATAGCAGCAACAATTTTATTCAGCATCACTGCAATTACCTGACTAAAAATAGGACAGGCAGAACCTCAGAGCAACACCTTGCCAACAGGGCTGCCTTTTCGTCCCTTCCAGGAACAGGCAGCTACAGGCCAGTACATTGTGTAGCTACCCCTTGGGTAAGCAGCTCATTCAGGTCTTATCCTCTTCCACTTTTTCTTTTCATGTTCTACCTTTTTCCTTTAAGCAGATTCAACAGTTACGGGGGAAAAAAAAAAGAGTACTACATATATGGAAAGATTTCACAAGCTAGGTTCACCTTTCTCACTTCACAGATGGTACAAATGAGGAAAATAAATACTTACTTAAGCATGTGCTCACTGCACACTTGCTTGAAGGAGCAAAGGGAGATGACGTGTTTTCTTATGTCTTTTCTGGGATCTATCTGTATCACCAGAGCATGTAAGAGAAGAGAAGAGGACTGCTGTGCCTAAGTAATGACATTAACCCTTTCAGGAAAAGAGACAGGAAGGAAGCAGGCTTAGGGAGAAAATCTGTAGCCTTCACCAACCAAAAGATGGAACTGGAGACAAAAAGGGATAGCATGCATTATTTCTCCCTTAGAAGTGTGACAAGGGGAAGAGACTTCCTTGTGACCAAAGATCACTTCATTTTTTTCTGTTCTTCAGCAACAACTATGCAGTTTACTTCCCTTGCTTTGGTTAAAGTAGAATCATAGAATATCCTGAGTTGGAAGGAACTCACAAGGATCATCGAAGTCCAGCTCCAGGCCCTGCACAGGACAGCCCCAACAATCACACCATGTGCCTGAGAGTGTTGTCCAACTGCTTCTTGAGCTCTGTCAGGCTTGGTGCTGTGACCACTTCCCTGGGGAGCCTGTTCTACTGCCCAACCATCCTCTGGGTGAAGTAGACTTAGCTTGTAATCAGTCACATACATGGTGAGGGACTAAGAGAGCAACAGTTGTCTTTTATCCTTCATTCTTCCTTCCTATATTTGTGCTTCTTTTATCCTTCATTCTTCTTTCCTCTGTTTGTGCTTCTCTTATAACATGGCTGACAAGTCTAACAGAGAAAATGACAAATCTGGTCTTAAGAACGTTCACTATATACGAGTTCCCAGCAAGATACTGCAACCCCTGGGTAACAACACAGGGCAAGGAACATGCTGAGGGCTATATCTTACCCTGCTGCCTGTGAGGTCCAGAGCACTAGCAGCTTCTAGATACTGGCAGACACCTTTGAAGGTCTTGACTTTGCAATACCTCTTTTGCATTGAAACTTCCTTCAATTAATGCTTTGGCCAGTTTCATAAATTATTTCTGCTCAGGAGAAGTTTCACTAAATACAATGAAAGGGAAAATATCCTAATATTATCCTAATATTATCCTAATTTTTCCATCGACTTTAAACTAAGATTTATCTTGAAGAGAAATAAAATGCTATTGAGAGCAGTGTGATTACTTTTTTTAATAAGGATTATTAGAAAGAACTGGGAACATTAGCTTTCATTGTCCATTCATAGTAAGGATTAGTCAAAGTAAGATATTCTCCAGAATACTCTGAACAGCTGTGATCATCCACTCTTAAGAAAGATTATTTTGACTGGAAAGACAACAGAGAAATCCTTTAAAGAAGATATGGGGAATGGAGAGCTTTTCTACAGGAGGACGTGAGACAGCTCACTCTTAACAGAACAGAGGCTGAACAGGACTCCTTTCTCTGTATATTGAAGTCTTAGGCAGCATGAGAGAAGGTGTATTTAGGCTAATGTTGGCTCCAAAGCAAGTGGAATAAATTATCTAAGAATAAATTTACTCTGGAAATACAGAAAAACTTTCTAGTACCAGAGCAGTGAGATCCTGAAAACATTTGCTTAAAGCCGTAGTAGGATCATACGAAGTGTTCTGCTTTCAAGTGGAGTTTGATAAGTATATTGGTGAAGTTGCCTGAAATAGAGAACCTGTTTGAAATGACCTAGCAAGTCCATTCAAGCATTATGTCCTTGAAGTCACCTGAAGGTTCATTCAGAAGATGCACATATGCAAATGCTTCTTGTGCAAAGTCAAGAATTACATGACAATGCCAGTTACACAAACTCACAGAGCTTCTATATCCAGCCCTGTAGGCAAACAACTGACCTGCTAGCAGTCCAGCTCATGCCTAAATCTCAGGATTTGAAAACTGTGTGTTTTCAGGCAAGATGTGATCAATCTTTCACCCATCCAAACACACAAAAAAATCCAAGCCTTTTAATGAAACTGACTTTAAAGCATGTATCTGAAATATAGGAAACCTGAATTAATTTCTTTCCATCTCCTATACATCCTAGAAGAGGCATGGAAAGATTCAGTCACCTGCTCAGAGTTGAGAGTTTTATGAGGTAGCAAGATATCTAGAAGTTATTCACTGTAATTTGTTCTTGTGAATCTAGTTCCTATACTTCTGTAGAACTAGATGCATTAGTTAGGTTGTAGAGAAGAACTTCAGTTACAATCATCAATTTTTTATGAGTTGTGCATTAATTATACCACAGCAGCAGAGCTTTATGAGTTAGTTCCTTAATGATCCAGTGAAGTTTCTTAGCTCAAGCTCACTCCAAGCAAACACATCTGTATTGCTTGCAGGGTCAGTGTGATTTCAAGAGCAGTTTAGTCACCTCTGTAGTGTGTGCAATACAAACTTATGAACTGTAAGAGCCCAAATTAGCTTTCCAAGTAATCTGATTTGTCAGCTTTGTTGTATGCTTACAGAACTGGGAACATACTTGTATGAAGCTAAACTACATCCAGAGAGACCTACTGGCTATGTCTGTACTTGTGAATTAAAGAATGTCAGCCCCTGGGACAACTTCATCTTCTAAATACTGTTAGAATGAATCCGGTATACTGTTTGCTCAGACCAGCTAGCACTCTTCCAAGCAACATCCAGGTGTGATTCCAGAGTTGGCACGGCCCAGGAGCAGACAGTTTGCATGCAGACACTGTGCTCTGCAAGCTAACAGGATTTAATTTTGTTAATGGAGCCAGATCAAAGCAGAAAGAGTCTTGGCACCGCATGCATACAGTAACTCCAGCTCAGTCCGGAACCTGCCAGACATGGGATGACTCACGCAGCCATGGCTTCTGCACCATGCTCTGAAACAGGGTATGTTAGCACAGAGGCAGTGCTGAACGTGAGACTCCATCTCTCCTGCTGAAGTCCTGTACCCAGATGAAAAAGATCTGAGAGTTTCGATACAGGAACAGTCTACTGGCTCTCAGTAGCCAGACAAAATTTGGTTGGGTCAACAGTGAGCTAGTGCTAACGAGATCAGCTGTAAACAAGCTGGGGTACAGATGGGCCTCTCTGCACTGTTCTCTGCCACATCTCTGTTAGCAACATACCCAACTGTTAGCTCATTCACAATGCAAGATCCAAGCACTGTCTGTGCATGCACTGGTGTTAGTCTTGAACTTACAGGCTTGCCTACTACCCAGAGCACCAGTGACTTTGAGGGAATGAGCCCAGGTTCACTAGGTTCAGTGCTGAAATACATTTAGCAGCAGTTCTGGACACTCAACGCCTTTGATCTTGACAGATTAACCTAAAATGTAAATAGATTGTGAGTATTTATGTAGATGTGTATTTGTATATATATATATATTATATAAAGACATACAGCCCATATATGTGAATTTAAATGAGACTTGTATGATAAAATTTAAAAACTTTTAAACTATAAAAACATGATCAACTTTCAATACGAATGTCATAAAAGACAAAAACATTTTGTATATTTGTTCTGGCTTAAATTTTACAGCAGAAATAAGCTGCAAAACAGAATTACAGGCCATGATTAGCTGGTCCAGTATTTGTTCTCCAGCATTGTGATGAATATAATACCTATGTTACAACCCTCCTTAATATATGCAGCTTATACCTTGGATTTTTTTTTCCAGTCAGAGGAACACTATTCTGATAAGTGCTTGGCACGTTTAGGTCAAATCCAATGTATTTATACATATCACTGTATGTTACTGGCGTATCACAAATGAAGTACAGAAACATACTGGGTGTTCACCTGCAGGAATAGCATATAATCAGAAAACAGAATATTGCAACTGCAAATTCTTTTGTCATCATTATTTTGGTGGGAAAAAACCCCAAACAAAACCACTGAAACAGTTCCATGAGATTTGACATCCCTGTTTGCTTAGTATCATGTGAATATCCCTTCAGGACAGTCATATATCTTATCTGAAGTCCACTCAGTGCTCATTTTCAGAATCTGTTGTATAGGTCTTCTTTCTGTGTAAGATTATCTTGTCCTCTGCTTCCTCAGTCCAGAAGAGTCCTTAAGAAAAGAAACTTTGCTCCCTGGAAGACAGTAGGGACTATAGTTTATAATGAATCCACTAAAGCAAGCAGCATTATTCCTGGACAGGTGAATAGCTGTGTAACTTGGCCCTTGTTGCATTTTTTTGTTTGCTTGGATTTTGAAAGTCGTTTACTGCAGTACACTGAGAAACAGGAGACAAAAGCAATTAACTCAGTCATTCTCCCATGGTCATCTGCTTCTTCTTGCTGGGTCTCTCTTTCATGTACTCTATTAACTGCTTGGGTTCAAATTTTTCCTTGTTGCTTTTTTAATCATGCATCACTTGGTTCACTTGTCCTTGCACTTCCAGTCTTTGTTGTTTTCAGTCTTTAACGATGATCTTTCAGTTAAGAGCTCACCAGAGTGTAGATCATGCTGAATGTAAAAGAAAGACACACCATGAAAGCATCCTTTTGAAGCATACAGAGTACTTTGATTTTTACAACCCTTTGCTGTCTGTTCCTCAGGTCTGACTGTAATGGCCTGTGCCTTCCTTTGCATTCTTTCTATCTTTCTAAAGCATCTTAATTATGGTGCATTCAAGATGGGTATCAAAAGGCACTCAAGAAATAACAAATTCATTATCGACATTCTACTGCACCACAAGCTGTGTTTGAGCTTTTTAAAGCTCAGTCTGATGTCTCAATTTGAACAGTGAAGAAACAAAACCATTTTGCTTTAGCACGTTTGATCTTTAAAACTTCAGCAACTCTCAGCAGGGCAGGCAAGGTTTTCCACAAAACTGCATTGTTTTGATTCTTTTGGAAAAAAACTGTGCAGTAGAAGAAACATAAAATGCACCAGCTGGAGTGAGTCCATACATATTAAATACAACTCTGAGAAGCGAAGAAAACACAGTATATTGCCACAGCTCCATTTTACTGCAACTCTAGTTCTGCCAATACCCAGGAAAGCACTGTAAAACTGTATGTAATTTATACCACTTTATTTAGCACCAGGCAGTGGATTTTGGATTATGGCCACATTTTAGAGTGAAGGAAGCAGGGCTCACAGGAAGCTGCACAACACTGAAGTCCCAGCAGAAATGCTGGACCACACTACACACCTGACTTTGATCCCCAACCCAAAAACATGGAGTTAAAAATGCTTTTCTCTCCAGCCATTCCTTGCCATCTCTCCTTACACTACCAACAGAGCTCCTCTAGGATAACTGCCATGCTTTTCACTCTCAGCCCCACGAAGAGGACAGGTAAAGGTACTCAGCCTAAACCCAAAAAGCTACTGGATGCTAAACTACTACTCAGATTGTCATGCCATATCCATCTTCACGTGAGTTAGGCCCCTGCCAGCTTCTTGCCCTCATATGCAGACACAGGCACATACACACTCATAGGTGAAGAGAAAACTTTGTTCTCAATAGTATTTAAAAGGCATATCAAGAAACAACAACCTGCAGCAATGACTCAAGATATGGGGAGCAGATAAAAGACCAATAGTCAGGAGAAATAACACTTTTCTTCCACCAGCACACAAACCTGCCTTGCAGAGGGATGACTACATGCAAGACTGGCAGAGGCGACTCTATGCAAATACATTATAGAAGAAGGAGTAGAAGAAAGGCATCATAGAACATCACCTCCATTTAAAGTGTCCTAAAGTTTGTTGTCAAGTAGGTTTTATGGTGTGATTATGGGGACGACTAAAAGCACAGGGATTCTGCCAAGGCCTTACCTTAAATATGATCCTCACATATTTTTGCACTGGGCATTTGTGACTGTGCACTGATATCTGACAGCTGAAAGGAGCAGGAGGGACAACCCACAACTAGGGTGCATATCTTCATGATTGTACTTTAATTTTGGGTTTGGACCATGCACAGGTTTACCCTGTCATGAAAGGAGCCTGTAGGAATGACTACAGGCATGGTACATCCCAAGTTCCCAGCCAGCATCTACGTACCCATTGATTTACCATCTTGAGCATCACTACACCAGCAGGTGCAGTATTTTTCTTACGATTCTCTTGAATCATAGGGACATTATAATTTTATTTGACATAATACCATTAATATAAAATTTCCTATTTCATCCATCCTAAGACAGTATACAGAGGAGCAAAAGTTGTTTCCTTGGGTTGGCCCTGGGGCCTGGCTCAGGCCTTAGATAAACACCTAATATTCTGTACTGAGGTGTCAGCAGTAAGTGGGTGTGCTTCCCTGAATCAACACCAGAAGCAAGTTCTATGAGATTAAGGAAGCTGGCCAATTGGTTCCAGTTATTTCTAAATACAGTTTCATAAGTGAAATGAAAAGTAGCTATTATTTTCTTAGTGAAATGACCAGACTTACCAGTAGAGATAGTAGAAGAAGGAAAGGAGATAGAAAGCCAGCTTACACCAGGCCTCTTTTTGGCAGTAACTCAAGGTATCTGCATTCATGACTGCAGGTGGATCATAGGCTAGCTCTGAACTATCTGCTGGGCAACGAAAATACCTGAAAGAGCAGAAGACATCTGGAATGACTCTATAATATTCTGTATTAAATATGTGCAGATATTCACCCTCCTGATCACCAGCTCAGAAGACTACCATCTTCCATGATACAGGAGGAATTTCTCTTTTTTTCCAAGTCTCTATTTCCAGACATTATTAAAATCAGGATGCCAGTCCAAGTACTCCTTTCTTATAGAACCAAGCACTTAATGAATGTGGACTTCCTGTGTTCTATTAATTCTTTAGATTGAAACATTCCCACTTTCTATATAGTTAGTTCTGGCTTACTAATAACTCACATATTGTGAGTGATAATATATGGTGGCTTGTGATCATAGCATACAGGAAGGATTACTGGGCTTTAACTGCAGCTACACAACTTTTTTCAGATATGATGAAAGGTGACAGTCTCAACCAGATGGTAGCTAAGTTCCTCCAACTCTGAAAAGGAAAGAGAAAACAATATGGAGTAATGTAAGAGCCAGCTGACTAAGGTTTTCTACATGTGGCACTGCTCAAAAATTTATCATCCAAATAATTTTATTTGGAAAATATTTTTCTTCTTACCTAAGAGAAATTTCTAATTATTCTCAGCAACGACTGAATGTTTGAGAAAATCATGACAAAACAACATCGCTGGCAAAGGAGCTTTTATCTCAGTTACTTTGCAGTAAAAAGCAAAAGCAAACAAAAAAAAAAGTAGTCCTCAACAAAATTAATGAACTGCTTTAAGATCAGCATGAATCAGATAAAATATTGTTATTTCTATTGCTTTGACATGCTAAACACTGAGGACTGCTGACTGCTTATAGATAGACAAATAGATAGATATAAAACCCCCAAACAAGTGACCTGCAGCAAACTTTGAAAGCAGGTGTTCTATAAATAACTTTGCCTTCCTCCCTTGCAATGTTAGTTGCATCCACTTACAGTCTCTAATAAGATTGCAAATTCTTTTATGGAGACCACAGGTGAAACCTTTCTTAATTATCTTCACTGGGATGAAGATATTACACAGTGTCTTCCCATGGTTTTGTGCAGAACTTTACACAATGAACCCAAACCTGTCTGTGGTTAAAGCAGCAGAAATTATGGAGTACTTATAGCAAAGCATACGGAGAATCACAGAAAAAGATAGAGAATCAAAAGTTCTCTCCAAAGATTTATATCATTATATAGAGTCTGATCATTTTCCTTTTGGACATATCTGTTTCTAGAAACTTTTAAAATGACTATTATTGTCACACTTTGGTTGTTAACCCTTAGTAAAACAGCACCATAAAACATTGTTATTCTTATTGCAGCCAAACCATAGGGAGAAAAGTATTTGAAGCTTCACTTCATTTAACTTTCTGAGAACTATACTGGCACTCTAACTTCTGAATTTATCACATGACTCTGCATTACTACCAAGGTTTTGCAGAAAAAAAAGTGTAAAAAAGCTACTACTTTTTAGTTTCTGTTTGAGATGACGGTTTTGACTTCTTTACAGAATTATTCTTCTGCTACCATATGTACCTTTGTAACACAAAGAGACCCCGACAGACAAAAATCATCTGTGCTTTTACAAACACTGTGAAAATTCAAAACTAGGGAAGACTCCAGACTGACAAATGCAAAAACTGATGTCTCTTGGTCATTTTCAGAGGCAACAGAAGGCTGATCCTCCACTAGAATGCAGAGGAAGATGCAGCAGCAGCTGTACTGCCTATCTGGAAAACAGCAGCAGGTCTTACGTGATCAGTTTGAAAGCCCCTTGGTGAATAAAAACACATATCAGAGATCCAGAGTGGAAATACTCCCCACTTCTTCACATGTGCAGTGTGAAGACAATAACTCTTCACCTACTGCAATCCCTACTCCAAGAGTCTCTAAGAGAGAGTTCTCTTGCAGAACATCAATTCCCTATTGTACAGAAATAAACAACTTATTTTATACTGAAAAAAAATCATAAAGCTGCCAAAGAAGATGAGATGCAAAAATCTGTCAATCTGCCCTGTCTTTATTTCACAACTCCAATGGAAAGGTTTCCTTGTTAGGGCTGAATGAATAGGTCCAAGCTCTTTCAAATACCAACTGTCTTACAACTCCCCATCTGTGAAGTATTTAGAGCTTCACCGAGTTCCACATTCAGATTCCAGTCTATTTAAATTCCATGTTTTCATTCAGTTGCAGTGTGTGCATCCTGACACTCTTTGGAATATTTACCTAAGTTAGTAACTGAAAGCAACATTTATATGGGGGAGAGAAAGAGAGAGGGGAGATAATATATAAATATAAATATAATATAAATACATATATATAAAGAGAGATAGGGGAGACATATAAAGATATAGATAGATAGAAAGATATATCTCCACTAAATTTTCATGAAAAAATTTCCTTTTTTGCTGGAAATGTAAGTTTCAGCTGCTTATAGGCATAACCCTCTGGGCAAAAGATATTCATCCATACTCCTATCACTGTCCTTCATTGTTCATACAATCTGCATGTGTGCTGAATTGGCAAGCAAGGCTAACAAGCAGTCAGCATATAAAAGAAGGGCTTACCTCCACAAGTGATAAAAAAGCAAAGGAACATTTAACCCCAGCGTGAGCCACTCCTGAGCACATAAAAACATTATGCAGAAAAGACTGTGGATAGAGTACTCTGGCAAGACCAGCTAAAAAGAAAGGAAGAGAAATAACAGATGTCAGTAAAACATGTCTTTGATTTTAGTCACCTAAGTAGTTTTTCAGAAAACAAATCAGCTCTGCAAGTCTGGCGAGACTCCCGTGTGCCTGTCCCTAGACATACCTCAGTTGAGAGACAGCTTGGCTACGAGCAATGAGCACAAGACTCAGTGCCAGGTTTGTCCGGGTTCTAACCATGTCTGTACTCTGAGGCCTTGCTGACAGGCGTGGGACAAATCACCCACTGTCTTATCTGGTGTTCCAGATTCATATCTACAAAACATATGTTATATTAATGCCTCCCTCACAGAAGCATAGTGAGACTAAATGAATGTCAGTAAAAGGGTTTTTAAAGAACTAAATTTTTTTACCGTTGCATTCAAAAAGGAAACAATAAAGCGATTTCTGAAGCTTCACTTCTGTATTGGAGGAGTGTCCTTGGAAAAATAAAACACTGCTTCTACCATTTTGATATGTTATATACACCCTAAAGAGATCAAATCCATTACTAAATCAGTCTTGCAAGCTAAATCCCACCAAGACAGGAAACTCACTTCCTTAGAAGATGCACGGCTCCCTACACTACTTGCTTCAGAACCATGATGACTCCTTCTATTAAAAGAGAAAGTGAGTGGGCAGCTGGCAGAAGCAGAAATTTATGTGATGTTGATTCAGAGCAGTTATTTCACAAGGCATTTTGCTTTTTTCACTGCTTTCCCATTTCTTAGCTGTCTTTATTCTCTTGTTTTCTTCCCATGTCTTTTTTCAGCAATCTCTGTTTCTTTTCTTCAAGTCATAGGAGAGATTCATTTCCAGCAGTACATATTTCTTAAAGCTAGACAAACCCATACACAGTTCATCTGCACCCATTGCTAATCTTGGAGATACATCAACTGGAGTTAAACCACAAAAGGCATTTGAAGGCTTCTTTTGATGTAAATTAATTTTCATCTGTCAAATAATTAAAGAGAGCCCTATTTTTTTTAAAGCAATGTAAAACCTACTATACAGCTTCTCCCAATGCCTACCTACTCTCATACAGCTGTGCTGCAAGGAATTCCATTGTCTTGGTTCTAGGAGTCTTTCCACCTCACATGCAACATATTGTTCAAATTCATTTAACTTTAGTACTTGAAGCAGATAACACATTTGGTATCTCTGCGTCTACGCCTTCAACTTAAACATTCTCAAAAGCTTATCTTATGTGGATGACAAATCATAATACAATTATATCGTTTAGGTTCCAGATGGTCGTTATTTATCACTGCTGGATCTTTTTTTTTTTATTATTTTTCACTGTTAGAATGAGATTTACAACATGACTATAACCTTTCCCCAAAGAATGACTCATCTCCATCACAAACTGCAGACAAGAAAAGTCTTCATAATGTATGTCTACCCACTAAACATCACAACACTCAGAAGCATATTACACTCATTATCACATATTTGACTTCTGATTGCAACACAATACACAAACTTAGCAAGACTGAAATCGTGGTGCCCGATCAGTGGGCTGGCTGGCAATAACAGGGAAGGAAACCCATGGTGAAAATTTATGCAGAGCTTAAAAAATGAAACAAAAATCTGAAGTGAAGCTAGAAAGGAAACAAAGGAAGTAGAGGGCTCTCAGAAATAGGCTCACTTTCCAGTCACAGTTTCTGGTGTAAATTAAATCTACCTGTAATTTTGATAGAACAGCAAGTGGGTCATTTATGTCTCTTCACTCTCTTCTAGGAGTGATATTTTCCAGTAGACATAAAGAAAGAAAGGATCAGTGCTGAACACCGTTTCTGGAGAGAATTCATGCATAGAAGCAAACAAAGCCTAACTGCAAAGCCAATTACCATTTACATTCAGGTGATGTACCTAAGAGACCAAATCTAAAAGGAGGTAAGTGAATTGAAAGCATAGAGAAAGGCACTTACAGTAAGGCTTGTGAAGTAAACTAAATAACTAAAAAATAACACTGCCTCGGTTCTTAGTTATAAGACTCATCCTGGAATTTGACACGATATCCTCTGAAAACAACGGAAACTTTAAATCAACTTTACCAAACATGGGATTCAGGTCCTTGAGAGAAGAGAACTGGCTGAGGAATAAGCAGCAGTCAATCCTTGTTGTTTCTGCTAAGATACTCAAATGCAACAGTAACTTCTGTGATACAGATAACTGTGCAATAGGAATTAAACCAACATCTTTAAATCATTCCTTGGAGAGCACGGGAAGCTGTCAGATGGTAAACATGTTAGGATATAAACAGTATACTTCTATTTTGAACTAGGAACACCCTGATTCAGACAACGACCTCTGCTTTCTGACACAGCTCAAGCTGAAGTTTGAGATGGTTATGAAACACAGAGATGAAGAAGGTCACAAAGCAGCACAGCTCTGAAGGACTGCAACTTGGTCCCTTTGAGTCTCAAGCTCAAATGGCATTACAAATTTATCACCAGAAATTCAGTTAGCTGGTATTTACCTGAGGAAAACCACAGGGAAGCCTGAAAAGGAAGTCACCCTTCTAGGCAAAAAAATACTGCTAATCAGAAATATCTTTAGCTATAACATAAGCAAGAGAAAAAGAGACTACCATACCTTTCTAAGTTTTGCTCTGATATGTATAGTTAAGTAAATACCCAAATCATAAATATGAAAACCCTTATTCACAATCTTTCACATTTAAAATGTAAAGTCTTAGGTAGGATTATCATCACATTGTTACTATCTCACCATAAGAATTCATACTTCTACAAAGTAGTACACACATACATGCAATTGCAGAAGAGCATCTCTTGGGAAGCTCAGTCCTAAATAATTTTATTCCATTTCCTATTTCCTAAATACAATCTGCTGTTCTTATACAAAATATAAACCTGTCTTTTTCTGTCAGTACCTTTCCTCCTTATTCTATCACATGTGGATTCCTTCTTCTCAAATGTAATTTTGCTTTCTCAGGACATTGTATCATTTTTACATGGAATGACTCTTACAGGTTGTCTCACTGGGGAACAGGGCACATAAAATGCCTCACAGAAACCCAAACTGGGAAGATATTATAGAAAGAATAGTAATCTCCCTTCATCAGTGTGGACTCTGAGTCTACATCAGTCTTCATCTGTGCATGCCAACCTCTATACTGCAACTATGGATTTTACACTCTACCCAGAAATTTCCAGTCATCAGACACTCCACACTACCAGGGTTTCTGAGAACCTTCATAATGCTGTTAGAGGCTGAGACAACTTCCCTTCTTTATGTCTGCCTTCTCCTCCCACAGATGGAAGGAAGAAACCTGAACAGAACTCGTGGTTGAAGATCCTTCATGTAATGTAAGAGCTCTGGTGATTACCCGAGTGGAAACAAATTGTTCACCTTAAAAACACACAAACTCTTATCCATTCACCTAAAAGCAACAAGAAACGGAAAACACTGCTCATGTGTGGAATCTCTCCAAGGCCCCAGATTAGGACAGGTCTAAGTGCATGCTGCTTTATTGCAGGTTATTGCTACTGCACCTACTTCTACTAGAGGATGACTGCAGCTTGTCATTATGGTGCTCACTTTGCTGCTTTTTTACACCATATCCCTTAAAAAAGCTGACAAGTAGAATTGGTCCTCATCAGTAGCAAGGAAAGAGTGGAGGGAGATGTACCCAAGGTTTTCAGAACGTAAGAGTTATTCAATTACACTTTAAAGCTTATCCCAACAGAGCCTGTCAGAGCTGAGCTGGGTTACTGGGGGGTGTCAGCCAAATTAAAGACATTGTGAGATCAAAGGGAGACTATTCAGTGACTCTCAAAATCTCCTAATTGAACAACACAGACCACAAAAATCAGAAGGGTAGTGCAGGCAAGAGAAAAAAAAGAAAGCAAAACCACACAGAAAAATAGCAGTAGCATGTGCATTAGCCCAGACTGTGTGTGTATGTGGAATGTACATATACTGAAACAAATCATCTGTTTCCTCCTGCTGTTGCACAAACCAAAGAAGTAGGGTCAACCGTGTGTAACTTAAACACACAGACCACACATAGTGGTTTTAAGTAACAGTTTCAAATATTCTGCTTGCACTGATCAAACACATGCAACATTGAATTTACTGTTGAAATACAGGAAGGCTTTCTGCTCACATTTTGTAGTGTATCTTTCTAATCTACTTTAAATTATGTACTTGACTTCCAAAACCTCCTCTGAAGGGCTGCCCTAGAGCCCAATACAATGCTGTCACAGTAAATATACTAAGCTTTTCAGTCCATATTTTCAGGTTCAATTTATTTCAATTCTCCTGCTAAAATCTACATTTGCTTGTGTCTCTACAAACTGTTCTCTAGTCGCTTATAGCGATCATTTAGAAATTCAGTAGCATAATTAAAATGGTTATAACAGAAACCTATAAGGAAAGCATTTTAAGTAATTCAAACCATGTTGTGCAAACCTCCACAAGTATTTAGCAGTTTACCAGGCAGAGGTATGCAACTACCCGAAAAGAAAATGCTTGGAAAATGGATTTCAGATCATCAAAAGAACAAGGTGCAGTTGAACCTATTAAGTTTACATATACAGCTTTACATTTTACCTGGGGCAGAGCAATGGTTCACACATGCAAGACTCAGTGTTATAGACCAACTCCAGAGCACAAGTGAAAAAAAAAAGGATGTAACATCTGTTTTTTCACCCCTTCACCTACTGTTCTGGATCACAAGGAAACAAAGCAGCAAAAGCCAATGCTTTGTAAAGGCAATTTCATTATTCTAAAGCACTATTGGAATTTCTTTAAACGTTTCTTTTAATTGAATGTGAACATAAGTCACTCCACAGCACGAATACCAGACAATGAAATGAATAATATAAAGAACCTAATTACTATTCTCATGCCATATCTGTCTGTAACATGGTACCAGATCTAATATTAAAATACAGGATTTCTGGATGCTTTTTCCATCTCAGCTACTAAACATACCTATATTTAGGCCTATCATTTCACTTCTCAT